GTTGGAGGGGGAGTTCGTTCATACATGTGCGAATCATTCTTCGGGGTCGGGGATTCAATTACGAAGTCAGTGAGAGCGTGAGCTTTGATGGTTATGTGGGGCTCAATTGAACATCGTACTCACTGAGTTTTAGGACCTAGTTGGTCATTCGTCCAGATGTAAAGGGGTTACCAAGTACTTTCTTCATAGCCAAATTCGTTTGGACTATTACTGTGTAGGCTTGGAAGTATAGTCGAAGTGTCCTTATTGTGGTGATGAGGGCGAAAGACGCCTTTTCGATGAGAATTTAGTTGAGCTTTATCGTTTTGAGACTGCGGTTAACATAGTAGATCGGCTTCTGAACATTCTCTTTCTCCCGGACTAGAACCAAGCTTATGACTTCGGCTGAGATGGAGAGGTATAGATAGAGTTTTCTCCTTGGACAGGCTGCTTAGCAAAGGCTTGATGCTCAAGTATCTTTTGAGTTCGACAAAGGTGCTGCTACATTCTTTTGTCCACTAGATGTTGTCTCTAAGGCCTTTGGCTCCCCTCAGGACTTTGACGAATATGAGGCTTTTTGGGCCGATTTGGAGAGAAAACGGCTCAAAACTGCTAATGTTTAGTTTTAACTGTTAGATACCTTTGACCGTACGAGGTTCGGTCATCCCTTTGATTGCGGCTATCTTTTTGGGTTTATTTCGATCCCGCATTTGGTGATCATGAAACAAAGAAACTTACTCGAATGCGCACCGAAGGCGCATTTTGCAAGGTTGAGTTTTATCGATATCGACTGAGAATGGAGAAACTTCCTTCGAGATCTGCAATATGGGAAATACCGTGCTTGGATTTCCCTAGGATGTCTACATATGCTTCCACATTGTAGCCTGCTTGTTCTTAAAGATCTTGTTGACTAGCCTTTGGTAGGTCGCTCCAACATTCTTGAGACCAAGTTGCATCACTCTGTAGTAGTAAGTCCCTAGGTCTGTGATGAAGGAAGTTTTCTCTTTATCGTGCTCTGTCATCTTTATTTAGTTGTAGCTTGAGAAGACATCCATGAAGTTGAGCTTTCATGTCTCGAGCTCCTGTCAACTAGTTGGTTGATCCAATAGAGGAGAAAGTTGTCCTTAGGACAAGCATTGTTTGGGCCGGTGAAATCGACGTACATCCTCCATTTGCCATTGGTTTTTTTCACAAGTACGACATTTGTTAACAATTTGGGATTTGGACTCCCTAATGTGTCCTGCTTTTAGGAGTCGGTCAAACTCTTTTGCTGCCGCTTGCTATCTTTCTGGTCCGAGATGTCTTTTCTATTATCAAATAGATTTGCAGTGCTAGTCAACGCACAACTCGTGAGCCAGGACTTTAGGATTTATGCCTAGCATGCTTCAGGTCCCCAGGTGAAAACATCAGTCTTCCAGCATAGGAACTCAATTAGCACTTGTCTCTAAGGCTCAGGCAGTTCCGACCCAATTAGACCTTTTTATTTTCGTCGATGCGGAGCATGATTTCTTCCAGTTCTTTGACAAGGGTGGTTCATTCTCTGTCTTCGTCCTTCTGTAGATTGACTTGGGACTTTTCAATTGTCAGACTCTCTAAGGTCTCATTGTTCTTCATCGCGTTGTTCTTCATCGAGAGCATGTAGCATGATCTGACTTCGCTGTGATTGTTCCGTGCGATGCCGACTCCTTCAGGGATAGGGAATTTTATTATTTAGTGGTAGATGGAGGGGATTGCCTTAAAAACGTTTAGGGAGTTCACTCATGATTATGTTATAGGCCGACTTGATGACAATCACAATAAACTAGACTCAGACAGTGGATTGGCGTGGGCAATCACTAACAACCGTTGGCAGGGTGATCACACCTTCTGACCAAACGTAATGCCCCGAGAAGCCTGCAAGAGGACTCAGACTTTGTTGCAGCTCAGATTTGTCGATCTTCATTTGGTTGACAACGTCCATGAATATGATGTCAGCAGAGTTACTCATATCTACCATTATCCGCTTGACTTAGAACCGGTTGATTAGGGAGGAAATAATGATAAAGTCATCATGGGCGTCATCACACCTTTAAAGTCAGCATTTGTGAAAGTTATGAACCGGTCCATCTTAAGTTTCTTTTTGCACAGGTTTACTTCGAGGACTCGCCGAACGTACTTTTTCGAGCATTGTTTGACATCCCTCTAGTGACTAGGTTGCCACTGATGGTGTTGATTGTGCTTCTGTGACCATCCTCCTTTGGTTACCCTTTCTATTGGTTCGGTCAAGGTGATCTTGACCTTCTTTCTAGGTTATTCGGGTTTAGCCCTCCTTTGTTACGGTAGTCGGTGAATTTTTTGAGCAGCCCTTTTTTGATAAGGTCCTCTGTGTCTCTTTAGAGGACTCAGAATTGTCTGTGTCATGGTCATGATCTCTGTAATAGCGACAAAATTGTTTGGAATCCCTTCTGTAGGGTTCTGAGGTCATGTAGGAGGGAGATTTGCTCAAATGCCCTTACCACTAGATTTGGTGTAAGACTTGCGAGAGGGGAGCGTTTACAAGGTCGAAGGTAGCTCCATTCATCATGTCCCTCCGCTCACTCCTTATCTCTTCTACCTTCTTATTGGGCTGTCCAGATTAGAAGCTCGAATCGAGTCGGTCGTTGTCGACCTTCTTGTTAAGAAGGGTCGCCACTCGGATCACTTTTTTGTGAACGTGGCTGTCTACTGCATCTATATGTGATTGAGCTCTAGCCATCAGCTGGTTGAAATCGGCCATAGGATTCATTATGAGTGAATCCGACAGCTTCTCGTCTTCCAAACTTGCGATTATTCCGGCCATCGCCACCATGTTGCCGGGGTCATCTACTTCTAATCGTTTAGCTTGGAACCTCTTGAAGTATTCTTTGAGGGTTTCACTCGGTTTTTACTTGATTTGCAACAGGAGGACGGAAGGTGCATTCTTTTTGGTATTCGCTAGGAAATAGGGTCAAACTTTCGTGAAAGTTGCTCGTAGTTATGGATGGATTTTCTTTCCAGGGAGTTTCACCACATTTTAGCGCTGTCGCTAAGATTGAATGGGAAAGCTCGACATATGACTGGGTCTGTCACATGTTGCATGCACATTAGATCAAAGAAGTTTTGTGCATATTCAGCCGGGTTGTCTTTGCCATTATACTTCTCGATATGCAGCATCTTGAATTTAGGGCAGGGGCAACCATAATATCATCAGAGAGGGGAGTGTTTCTTCCAATAACATAGGCCATCGCGTTGAAAGTTCGATGGTAACAGAAGGTACGATTGGCCACTATTGTTGGGGTCTGGCTCGCTGCGGTCGCATAGGTGTATCCTATTCCCAACAACACAGCTTGGGGGTCATGGCTTGAGCTTTTGCACGCCATATTCCTCTGTTGAGGGATCTGTTGGGTATTTGTAACGAAACGTGTTTGATGGCATAGTAACCGAGGAGTGGTTTCATTGACCCGCTCTTCGTCTTCCTGCCTTTGGACCACTATCCCAACATCGAGGTGGCGCACAGTGGAAGCAAATTAATGTTGGAAAGACTGTGCAAATCTCTGCGAGGATTCATCAAGAGGAGGCAATCAAGGGGTTAGTTCGAGAAAGAGGCAAATTGATGTTGGAAAGACTGTGCTAATCTCTGTGAGGATTCATCTAGCTAGGTTTGACTGATATAACTATCGCCAAAGGAATCTTTGGGAGTGCTTAGCTTAGGGAATTGAAAATGGTTAGGATCAGCTATTTTTGGCCCAACAGTGGATGCCAAACTGTTTATGTCAGAAAACTAATCTCAGAATTCCGTGGGAGATTATTATTGGATAAAGAATCAAGAGGGGCCTTAATCTTCTCCAATAATTGATCAAATTAGAAGATAGCAAATCCCTACACAGGCAACAAATTTTAAAGGCCCCAAAAGATACTTCCTCTGGTAGGCCCTCCGGTGCTCAATTCAGTATTTCAGTGTTTGATCAATTTGACAAGAAGAATAACAGATAGGGGTCAAAGTTCTTAGAATCCACACCCGAGAACGATAGAGATCTTTTATGCTTTATATGGGGTGTTGGGGTAAATTGGTAACTCGACTCAACTAGTGAGGGCAGTGTCTCTCTGACACCTTTTCTTTGTCAATGACTGATTGGCCATTTGGGCTAAGTCGCCCATGCCACATTAAATGTGATAGTGACAGAACGACGGAGCAAGGGGCGTCATGCGAAGAGTCATTATCACACTTGACTTGCATTTAATGTGATGCCGACCGAGTGGCGAAGCGTGGGCGATGCCCGAGAAGTTATCATCATGCCTGGTTGCGTATTAAATGTGGGCGCCTTCGACAAGGCGGTCGGCCATCCATCTAATCGTGGGGTGTGTTCTCCGATGGGGATTGACCCAAGGAGATCTGACGACACCTCCCGATCCAGACTAGGGTTATAGGAAGGGTCGGACAATTTACTCAGATTGTGGCTATATCAAGAGGGGTTTCTGATCATATGACCTGACCTCTTGACACATGACCGGTCCTTGGGTATTCATTAAATTCACGATTTTTAAGATGTGATGGTATTGTCAGTACAGAACCACTAGGTAATAATTTTTTGTTTGATCTACATATTTTCATCAAAGAAGAACACACAACTCAACATCTAGAATCTACTGTCATGCATACATGATGACACTTTCTCCACGGAAAGAAACCCAAAGTCCTATTAACATTCCATATCGTCATAAAAGATAGCGTCAAGCAAAATCCCTCGTCAATATAATGCAGGATCACCCACCCATGTACAGGAACAGTAATTAGGTCATGTTCCTGAATTAAAACTCGTATTCATATTTTGCCACCTAATATATTATAAGCCAGCCAACAACAATAGCATCATGCTATGCAAATATATTCTTAGTGGTTCATAGTCGTAGTTTGTGTTCATTGAAATAAATGAATGAAATAATAAATTACAAAGTAGAACAGCATAAATCATTAAAAGTCTTATGAAATTTGAAAAATAAAGTAGAAATGCTTTGCAACCTACCATTTCTGCAAGTTGGTTGCTTTGTGGGGTTTGAGAAAAGCCTGGCTCTCTTGTTTCCACAGTATCTGCTGTCTGCTAAAGCAATTAAGAAAATGTAGAAAAGAAACACTTTCTGCAATAACTGCAAAAAAAAGGGCAAGTTACGGACCTTGTCATCCACCTTCCTCTTGTCACCAGAATGTTCAGCTAGCTGAAAAGAGGAACAGCCTCGATCAGAAGGCTGATTGCTGGATAATGTTATATCCTGCGAGCAAAAACCGATATACTTTTAATTTGATTTGAAGACATCAAAATCTACCTTTAAGACATAGAAATTGACTTACGGGCGTAGGAATTGACTTCATAGAGCTACCAATCATATCTGATGATGAGGAGAGAAGCTCGTCCATATTGGTAACCATATCGTGTCCAAAAATGGACTCGTTTCTGCAAAGTCATCACCTTAAAAGATAAGTCTTCACTTAAAACAATATTTCAGCACGACAAGGAAGAATAAGGTGTATCATAAGACAGTTTAGTTCCAATGCAATGTTACAGGTAGTTACCTGAACATCCTATCCAGGTCATCAAAGTCATTGATATTAGCCCAGTCACAGTCAAGAAAGCTACCATTTCCTTTATCATCACGCGCACTACCAAAAGGTTCAGGTTCACCATCCAGCTGCACTGTATCACCACCATAAGTAACTAAATGATTTATGCGAACGTAAAACTCATTTGCCGTTTAACAATTCATGAGAATCACAACATCCATCCATATTACCAGTCATTTTATTAATTAATCCTTGTTCAAGGGAGCCATCATTATTTCCATTATTGTACCCTGTATTCAGTTCACTACTTAAGGATGGCAAATCAGGCCAGGGATCCATCTCAAGCCTTGAACTGGAATGATCTTCACTTGCAAGACAGGAGCTGTTCTCCACACAGCCAGGAAATTCATCTCTTGCTCCAGAACTCTGCCCAGCAGACTGTGGAATAGAGCCAGCATCATCATTCCCCTCTTTCTTGTTGCACTCTTTAGAAGTAAACGCCGGGTGTTCCTCAGAATCTTTAGGATTAGGCACAGTATGGTCTTCATTTTGATTTAATTCACCCCATATTGTTTCATTGACCTACAAAGATCAAAATAATTGCATATTCATTTAAAAAGCAAAAAAAGGTCATGTTGATATACATTATAAGGAAATCAATAGAACTGAAAATAATAGACTACGTTCATTGAATTCACATAAGAATATCAACCCTTTGAACTGAAGGGAAAAAAATATATTCTTATGCAAGGACTTGTGGTCGGAAGGTTGCTTGTGAAAGGAGGAATCATAGGTTTAAGATAAACAGTCAACATAAAGAAGAAACTTTTTTCATTTAAAAAGAAAGGGTGGCGTTACTGCATATTCACTTAATAGTTTACTTGTTCATTAACATGAAATATACAAAAACAATAATAATACTCCCAATGAGAAATTTGTGGGAGCATGTTGCTCATTTAATTGGAGTATCCCTTGCGACCTCAAGTAATAAGAGCAAGTAGTTAAGAAATTAGAGAAGGGGCATAAGTATTGCAACAACCACTCTCCATAATTTACATGACAAAAATTTATTCAAGTCAAAAAAACGTTAATGAAGAAAGTGTTTACACAGAACCTTACAACTGCTCAAAATGAAAAATGAAAGGAAAAAAGAAAAAAAAATGTCACTCCACATAGAGAAGCAGAAGGGGCGCAGCAGAGCTTTAAACTGTAACTGAGTAGGACTGAACTGAGATATATATAAATGAGCATCTGAGGAGAAGACCACTTGAAAATTAAACAATTGTGAACCATAAAACCTTTCTCATCCAAATCAATGGAGGAAATACATGAATATATGGAAAAGAAGGGGGAAAATACATATAGAGAAAATAAATCAGAAATAATTTTTTGACAGAATAAATCACTGTTGTGTAATTCTTGTCCAAATAATCATAAAGCATCATCATCTTGTTGGAATCTGGCATGAAGGTCAACACAAAGCTGGTATTTATCATTTTTTTCCCTTTTCTTCTTCCCTCAAAAGTTTTACCAAGATTTCCATACTTCCCTAATTTAAATCAAAGATACATGTAGTATACCTTCAAACTCTATATGCACAATAAAGATGATGACTTCAAGTCCTGATACAAATACGTTTATACAGGTTTCAGCCACTCAGAATTTACTGAAGTAATCAGAGATAGCAGTAAGGCCTCCAAGGCACTGGAAGACAATATCATTGTCATCACCAGTGTGATCCTCAACCACCACAAAGAAACATTATCTGCCTCTTACATGATAATCAAGACCTCTTGAGGTAATGTGCTGCTGTTACATGGTGATAAGAGGCAAATGAAGACAAGAATTTGAGGAGAAAGTATGACAAAAAGTTGTTAGACTCAAATCAAGTCTGGATGCTCAAATTTTGCAAGATATTTGGGAGGAAGACAAACGGATCTCTCAAATAAAAAGCAATACAGTTTGAGTTGATGATGTTTGACAGGGGATAAATGAACTTGTACTAAATGATTAATAAATTCACTTGCAGGAATCAGCTATGTAGATACATAGACTTCTCTAGGAATTAAAATTAGCAGGATGAAGAATTAAGTCCTAGTGGAGTCCGGGTTAGTTATATATATGGACATGAGGGGGTCTAGGATTTTCTTGAAGTTGTGAGATCTCTCAAAAGAGAGTCACAGGTTATTGTGTATAAGAGCTTCAGATCAAACAAAATTTCCTTGCAAGAGATGAACAAAGGGGACTGTTTCAATATAAGCACTTGTTATTTGGAATATATAAGGAACATGCTGTTGGCCTACAGTACAGTGAAATATAGATACTTGGAAGCACGAAGTTTGATCTACAACAAAAAGAACAAGAGCCGCAGCAGCAACATCAAGTCTTTATTCCAAAATTTCAGGGTCGGTTACATGAATCATATTCTTCAATTCAATTCAACTCAATTGAGGGCTATCTTCTCCACTAAATTAATTATTTTCATATCAACTAACTCAAAAAAGAAATAAAATGTATCAATCAATTCATCTCTACTCGGATCAAACTAAAAACTCAAAAACTGTTATTGATAGACAAATCCAACAGTGGAATCCAGAGCACTAACATGCAAATATAATCTTATTTAAATTGCCACCATATCCAGCATTACTGAAAATCATTAATCCTATCCAAAATAGGCTTGAATCCAAATCTAGAAATTTCTAAAGCAAACCAATCCTGAAAACCAACAGTTCAAATCAAATATAATATAATCTAGTGATTTTTACCCATTTTGAACCTAGAAGGGATTTGAGATCCTGACACTCTATAGCTATACATTAAGATGACTGTAAGGGCATTTAATTTGATCAAAAAGCCAGCGGATAAGTGGGCATCGACTACATTAGTGATAAAAAATTAATTCCCTTTAGCAACTTCACCCTCATCTGTAACTTCTACCTTATAACTGATAAAGTGGGCTGCACAGTTTCTTCTTGATTCCTCCTCTCTTATTTTCCTTTTTCCAGATAAATTAATTTTTTGTGTATCAAGATTTAATATTTTAACCTTCAACGGTGTTAATAACCCATTATTCTATTAGCATCCTAATACCATCACAAATCATGTTTCTCAAACATATAATCCTAATGCAACCATTTCTTTCATTGGGGAACCTAACTGCCAAATGCCAGAGGGAAAAAATCAATGCCTACAAATCAAGATATCAAAAGGTACAAACTAATACCTACCTACAAGTAGAAACAGCCTCGTTCACCTTACTATTCTACATCATACTATGAATTATTTATGGATTTCACTTCTGACAATTGTTATCTTTAAATTGTCACGTTGGCTTCCACCTCTAACCGCCATGTGCAGTTCAATGAGGTTACTTACTATAACACTTTATGCAGCCTCCCTATAATCCCGGACCGCATTTCGAATATGCTCTCTATACTCACAAAATTATTGGATATTTCTTGCAAAAACCTACTGCCATTGCATCAACTTACCACATCTTTCCTCAACTACAAGCACCATACTGCTCAAAACATGCATGGCTGACTCCATAAGTTGTTGTCCTTCAGATGCAAACTAATGTGGGATAACTCAAAAAAAGAGCCATCTAGAAAGATGTCAGACAAATACTCATCTTAATTATATATTATATAGTACATGCACCATCTTTTACCCAAAATACATGCATCACTCAATGAATCAAATTCATACAGAAATGCTTAATATATGCAATAAGTATGAGCTTGATCATGAAGAACCAATGTTGCTATTTTTGTTGGCCCAATTTCTAGCCCGTTACCAAAAGGCCCAGCTCCCCACTACTTGTGCCCTAGCCCCCTCTATTCCTCTATCCTACCCGATGGTACTCTGTAAGTCTTTCGCCTCTTCCCCATCCCTGTGTCCTGCGCTGCTGCCGCTGCGAGTCCCATCTCCCGTCCTTGTAGGTCGGCTCCTACCAGTCGATTCCCTTGCCTCTCTCCCGTGTCGGCTGCCCCCTTCCCTATATAAGGGTAATGGGTTGGTAGTAGCTCGGGGTGAGAAAATGAAGGAAGAGGAGCGACGGAGTGAAGAAGAACAAGAGCTTTGTGCTCTCTGGAGATCTGAGTGATCCCCCCCCCCCCCCTTGTGCGATCCCTCCTGTGAGCTTTGTGCTCTCACCCCCTTTGTGCGTATCCCCTTTCCTCATTGTGAGTGATTTAAGGCGAAAAGATCAGTGGGCTCCCCTTTGTGTTCTTGGTGGTGCACAGTTGAAGAAGAAGGATTGTTTGATCAGGCTTCTGAGCCAAACAGCGACGACGACGATCCACAACAGTGGTATCAGAGCTCGGTGAGTTGTTGCCCTTCCAACAC